TTTAAAAATTCCATCTTCACCATAAATCCTCATACATTACAAAATTCATATTACAATCTCATCAATACAGAATTTTTTCCAGTTCAACATATCATCATCATCAACATACAGTGCCAAACATTTTCATTCAAACCATACAGAAAAATCAATCCACACACATTACAATAACCTCATCTCTCATTCTCTGGCATAAGTTCCAACGATATTTATAATATACATCCAGTGTAACCATACTCATTCATGCACACTTAAACAGCAATTGTTTCATGCAGTTCAGACATTCCAGTACATTTCATTGCTTTCATACAATCAAACCAGTATTAAATTAAATTACTAAAGCTCCCTTATCCTGGTCTATCGCAGTGAACTCCCAAGGCTTATGGTTTCTCTGTGCTTCTCACGGCTTTCTACCCAACGAGTCACTCCAAGAATTCTCACTAAATCTATAAACCAAATGACATAAGGTTCAGACCTATAACTCATGCATAGCAACCAGAAATGTTCGCATGACTAAATAGATGAAGGTGCAAGACGAGAAACTTACCAGTTCGTTCTCAGTTCTTTCGGTCAGAAGAATGCTCACGTTGCAGAGAGGGTTTCCTACTGTGTCTGAAATGATATTGGAGGAGATGAAGGTGAGTTATCTTAAGAGAAGATGAAAGCTTTTCAGGGAGAATGCAGAGAAGATGGAAGGCCAGAATTTCTTGAGGAAGAAGAAGATGCATGGAAGGAAGAGAAAGTGTTTTCAGAGAATTGTTTTTCTCTTCCTCGTCAAACATGGTGTCACTCACAACTGCCACCCTGATTTTCACCTACAGCTTTGGAAGCTTCAACGTGACAAGATGGCATTAGTGCATGCAGAGAGGAAAAGAGTGGAATTTGACGTGGCAGACTGCATTTAAAAGTGTGATCAGAGAATGGATTTGTAATATAATTTATTATCAGGGTTTCACATTCCCCCTAACTAAAAAAAAAAATTTCGTCCTCGAAAATTCTAAGGCTTACCAGGAAATAGGTCGCGGGTATAATTCTCCTCCAGCCTCTTCAACCTCCCATGTTGAGTCCACCAGTCTTTGCATTCCACACCACTTTTACGAAGACGAACATCTTTTGCCTTGTAGAGTTGGTGCGGCTGTCTCCACACAAACATTAACAGGTTTTGCATCTCCCAGTGTCCTGTCTGGTGTCGGCGAGAGCTTTGGATTCTCTAATTGTCTTCTAACTCCAGTCGTTTGATGGATCAGATATATATTTTCCGGAAGTTTGAGAAACATAAAGACCTGGATGTTAGGTTGGACAGTTGGGTGGTAAAGCAGCTCATACGCCACTGATCCATCTTCTTCAGAATCTTGATATGGCCCTAGACGAACTTAGGTGATAGTGCTTTCTTTGGACATGAAGGCTATTCCCACGTCCAGTGATTGGAATTCAACCCAAACACATGATCTCCTCCAGCGGCAAACTCTAAGGGTCGTCTTCTCTATCAGCAAACGATTACCTTTCTTTCTGCCGGCTTTGATATGTTTTCAAACGTTCCTGTATCAGTATTTCACCTTCTCAGTTGTTTTGCTTTGGATTAATTCAGGTCCAGTACTGCATTTTCACCTACTTGGAACCAACACAAAGGAGTTCTAAACACTTTGCTTCCATAAAGCTTCAAACGGGCCATTCCTATGCTTGCTTGAAAGCTATTGTTTGTACGTGAATTCACAAGCGGCATAACCTCATCCCTACTCCCATATGGTCTATACAAAGGTCCTCACATTCTTCAAGAGTCCTGGATGGTTCGTTCAGATGGGGGGTGACCCATCAGTCTGAGGGTGATAAGCAGAACTCATTTGCAGTTTGCTTCCTTCTCAATTCTCCTTGCAAGAACTGCCCAAAACGAGATGTGAAATTCGTGTCTCGATCTTATATAATGCTTGAAGGAACTCCATGCAATCTAAAAATCTCATACGTAAATTTGGCCAAGTTTGTCTGGACTCTTCAAGTTAAACAGCTAGGAAGTGAGCCGCTCTTAGTTTAATCTATCCACAATCCCCCTAACACCCAAATTTGAATCATGGTTTCCGGACTGTCGGCAGATGAGTCAACGAAATCCATGGAGATGCTTATCCCACTTCCATTCTGGAATTTCCAATGCTGGGCAGTCACATCTCCTATCCCTCCTGGTCTTTGGTTTCAGCTTTGCACGTTTGACAAGTTAACAAGAAGACACAAAACTGCAATGTCACTCTTCCTTCCAGGCCACCAGAAGGATAAACAAGTCTTGATACATCTTAGTCATGCCAGGATTGCCTGCTACGACGGCTTGATGTCCCTCCTCCATTATAAATTCCTCCCTCTTCAAGCTCACTGTCAAATTTGGAATGCACGTCCTATCCATGTAACGCAATAGGGGCCATCCTTCCAACATTGAATTTCTTTGGCTTGATCCGAACCAAAGCACGCTCAAGATCTTCACCAGTCCTTCATCCTCACGTTGCTTCTCCGAATTCTATCAACACAATCACTGGAAATTTTAAGATTCAGCATCGATAACGTCCGTCCCAGCAACTGCACCCTTAGATTCTAAAGCTTTCCACCAAATTCCAACTCCTTCACCATCATTGCAGAGATCCTTACAGCCTTCCTACTCAAGCATCAGCACCACATTAGCTTTTCCAGGATGATTACAACAGTTCCGCATTCATAATCCTTCAAGAATTCAGCCACCTCCCTTTGGCCTCATATTTTAAATTCCTTTTGATCAAAGAGGTCTTGAGACTCTTGTGATTCACTAAACACCTGAAACGTTGCTCCATAAGTAGTGCCTCCATATTTTTCAATGCAAACACGACTGCTGCTAGCTCCAAGTCATGTGTGGGATAATTCTTCTCATGAATTTTCAACTGTCTCGAAGAATAAGCCACTGCCCTCCTTTCCTGCATCAGCACACAGCCCAAACCTTGATATGATGCATCACAATACACTTCAAAAGGTTTGGCCGTATTGAATGACCAACCAGGAGCGCTTGTTAATTTCCTCTTCATTCCTGGAACTCTCCTCACATCTATCTGTCCAAGCAAACGGCTGATCCTTCCTGGTGAGGTAAGTCAGAGGGGCTACTATCTTAGAAAATCCCTCAATGAACCGCATATAGTAGCCCGCAAGTCCCACAAAGCTTCTAACTTCCGTGACAGAACGTGGACTCTCCCAATCTAGCACTGCCTTCACCTTGGCTGGATCCTAATGCAATACCACCACAGAACAACGTCCCCTCAACATTGGATCTCCTTCATCCAGAATTCACACTTTTGAACGATGGGCAACAGCTCTTTCTCCCTCAATACGCTCAAGACAATCCGCAAGTGTCTTCATGTTCTTCAAGTTCTGGAATTATGAGGATGCTCAAAACAACCACACAAACTTATCAAGGTAGCCGAAGATGCTGTTCATATAGTCCTGAAGATTGCAGTGCGTTTGTCACTCTCTCTCAAAAGGGCATACCACATACTCATAATGGCCATAACGAGACCGAAATGCAAGTCTTCTTGAATGTCCTCTTCTTCACTCTAATTTGATGATGCCGAACGTAAATAATTTTAGAATACACACGCACACATGCAACTGGTGGCCAGGGCAGGTCCATCAATGCTATTGTGTAGATGATACTTGTTTTGATGGTTCAGGCTTATTAAGTTGTCTAATTAATCATATGCATAGCCGTGACTGCCGATCCTTCGTCGTCTTCTTGCCCAACACATACAGGCGCTCCCCAAAAATGTGAAGCTACTTGGCCTGATACTAACTTCTTATATCCTGAACTCTTCAATTTGCTTTTACGCTCCACCAACTCAGCTGGTGCCATTCCTTAAGGTTAAATTGAACCGAATAGGTGCAAGCAGTGGTTACCAAATCAATTGTGCATTCTGGCTTACCTGTCACGGATTGGAGTAGACCAGGCTACTTCATCCGGAAAAACATCGATGGACATTCATCCACTACTGTTCGTTCTCTCACTGTTATCAACATTGGATAACGCTCATCTCAATGCTTTCAACGTCCTGATAAGAAAACAGCTTGCCCCCTCCATGATATCCTCCTTAACTGCCCAAGAGTGATTGACAGTTCTTCCTCTTCTTCCATCTGGCAAACTAACTCCTTCGTCCCTTCCCACGTCAATTGAGGATGTCCGATTGGTAAGCCAACCAATCCATCCCCAAAATTACTTCTAGAAGTCCTAAGGGGTAAACAATGAGATTTAACCTTTATCTACGCCCCCAACTTCTTAAGGACATCTTACACACTGTAGACGTCTTGACCCCACCCCGCTGGGGTTGACACCACCAAGGTCCAAACTGTAATCACTCTCCATATTCCTAGTTTTCTCACACCGGGCCTTCGAGATGAATGGGAATGGATTGCTTCCCCGAGTCATACATACACAGCACTGCTTTCCATACAACATGCAAGTGATGGTGATGAGTGTACTGAACGAGCAGCTTCCAGCACCATGATTGCGTACCACCCTTCCTGTGGCTTGTGCAACAGTCCACCTCTCCCTGTGTTGGGTTCTCCCCGTTTCCGGCGCCTCATTGCCGCACGTCCTCCCATATGCACTCGTTCCCAGTTGGCCATTATGTCTGCAACGAGTACAATATTTTCCTCCTGCAACGGTGGACAAGCCCACCGATAGGTGGTCCTCCACTGATAAACAGTTAAGCTTCTCGCGTCCAGATTGGCCAACGGTGACCAAAGCATTGTGATCCGCCAGAGGATTTGATTGGGACGAAGTATATGGGACCCCTCACATTTGATGCACCCTGGACAAAACCGGACCCTTACTATTTATTGGGATGTTACATTTATTGGTATCAGAGCAGTTTTGTTCTTTTAAGGACAAGTAGGGTATGAGTGCACCATGTTTTCGTTGTGTGCTTGTATTGTGTTTAATGAGTTAGGGAATTACTTAACTCTTGAACATGACTAACGTGCGTTTTCTCTGAACCAGAAAACGAATGGCGCCTAGACTTCCTCCCCCACCTCAGCCAAACGAGGCTGACACTTCTACTCATACCAGAATGTTGGAGACAGTCATTGACAGACTACAACAACAAAACACAACCTTAATTGAGCAGAACGCTGCCTTGATGAGGCAAAACCAGGAAGCAATGCAAAGTTTGGAGGCTTCTCGTGTTCACTCTGAAGCAACGCAGAGGCAGTTGATGGACATTTTGTCCACTACCCGAGGCACACCAGGAGCTTCTTCTTCTAACGCTGCACCTCATGCTGAATGGAGCTTGGAAAGCTTCCTGCAACATCATCCTGCCAAGTTCAATGGAAAGGGGCTTCCTGATGAAGCGGATCAATGGTTGAGGGATATGGAGCGGATCTATGATGCCAAAAGATGTCCAAATGAGAACCGTTTGGCATTCACAGAATACTTATTGACTGGTGAAGCTAGTCACTGGTGGACGAGCATGAAAGCCATCCTGGCGGACGCGCAGAACCCCATTAATTGGGAGGTTTTTAGAGCGAAATTCTATGAAGAGTATTTCCCAGACAGTGTACGCTTTGCTAAAGAAGTGGAGTTCCTTCAATTGGTGCAAGGTAGTATGTCCGTCTCGGAATACACCAACAAATTCAAACATCTGGTTCGTTTTAATACCATGGCTACAAGTGAAGAATGGCAATGCAGGAAGTTTGAAAACGGTTTGAGAAGCGATTTAAAAGTGTTAATATCCTACTTGTGTATTAGATCTTTCCCTGCCATGGTGGAGAGAGCTAAGGTTCTGGAGAAGAACGTGGCTGAGGCCGAGCAACAGAAGAAACAGCAATTGAATAGGGGGCAGGTTATATCCAGAAACACTACGAACGTAAGAAGGTCCCCATACGTTCGTCCAACTCAATCATCTGGCAGATCACAAGCTTTGGTCACTGTTGGCCAAACTGGACAGCAAAGGAGTTTGACGTGCTATCAGTGTGGGGGACCACATTTGAGATGGGCTTGTCCTCAACTTTCTGAAGGGAAACATTGCAACAAGTGTGGGAGGAACGGACACTTGGATCAGGAGTGCAATGTGGGAGTACGAGCGGTAATGAGACCGCCGAATGCTGGAAGAGCTCAACAAGGAAGAGGTGGACGTGCACAAGCAACAGGAAGAGTTTATGCAATTACTGGTGCTGAAGCTGCTCGTTCAGGTACACTCATCACCAGCACTTGCTTATTGTTTGGAAAGCCGTGTGATGTGTTGTATGATTCGGGGGCAACTCATTCCTTCATCTCGAAGGCGTGTGTTGAGAAG